TGGAAGCAATTAGAAGCTTTGACATTTGGGCTAAGTTCTTGTAAAACCTTGCAGCTAACTTCAACAACTGCTCTGCCTGAGGATCTGCTATTTGTGTTGGTGTTAAATGATTGGAACATGATAAAAAATAGTAGATTAATTAATAACAAGAATATCTAGATTCTTTTTAACATACCCTTAAGGTCCATCATCACAAAAGAAGATAACACCTTTACAACAGCTTCTGCTCTTGAATAAACAGTCTCTTCCAGTGCCAATCCTGGATCTCTTTCACCATTCTGATTAACCAAAACAGCTCTCGTATTTGCAACAGAATATACCTTCAATTTCCTTATGACCCATTCAGTGTCGAGAATAACTGATTCAACTAAGTGCAGTATTACCGAAGCTAGTGCAGCACTGGTTGATTTGTTTATAATTGAATACGCGTCCAATGTCACTTGTGAATCAACCTTCTCTGATTCTGATCCCACCACTTTCAGAAGCTCTGCAGCCATGTCTTCGGCGATAATTAAGTCATTTGGTGGTGATGTCAACAATATAGCAATAGATACAATACTTTTAGCAGCCTTGGGATTTGATACTTTACTGGTCTTGCAGATGCATTTAGCCCAATTACCAACAAGATTCCTTTGCTCCTCTGGCAGTTTATTGCTAATTAACATGATAATATCACAAAGAACCTGACAGCAAACATAACATAGATGCTATTAGAAGTAAAAAAGAACTAGGCTATACATCACGCAAAAACTCCTAAGCAAGAATCAAAGATTACCAATCGTACGCATTTACCTCAACTTCGCGAAAGACAGAATGCGCAAGAAGCATAGAAATCAGTGGCCTTATACTGTTTTTGATGAATAATTCTTCACTTGTATATTTGTAAAGAATGTCATCAGCTTTTTCACCTTCGGTATCAATATCGCCGTCCATAGCATTGCCCGCTTCATCCCCAGGACCAGAAACTGCAGCCAGGTCATCTATCACAACAGAATAATCCGACTCATGCAAGATTACTGCCAGCAATTCTTTCAAGGAAAGAAGTCCCAAATGGATATATTCCTTCCTGTCGTCAAGATCTTTTTTAGCATCTTTTTTCCTACTATCTGTCATAGATTTTGGTTCAGAGAGGAGCCACCAAATAATTTTCAGCAAAGGGGAGCCCAACTGCTTGATCTCCCCATAGATCAACATTTTTAGAGGATCTTGCTGTCGCACAACAGATGATGCTTTTAGCTGACGGAGGCAAATGTTAAGAGTAAACGAAAGAATTTTATAATACTGAGTTGGTGCCTTTCCAGATGATAATTGGCTATGCTTTTGAGAGGCCATATTGTTGTTAAAGCCATCATATCTCCATGATTCTATAGTGTTTTGCAACAGCTGATAGATAACTGAATTTGCTAAGAGAGGAATTCGTTCCTGACATAATTTACTGCCACTAAATTCAAGGTCCTCTGAAGTATTGCTTGCAGTAGGCCGTATGAAACCTCTTTGAGTTGAACCACCACCCTGTCTACATATATTTCGGTCCAGGGATTCAAAAATACCAATGAAGTCAAACAGCTCCTTTTCCAACTCCAACTTTTTCACATCAGTTGTTTTTCCAAACTCAGTCCCTACTACATTCAACATCACCTCAATGATTCCTAATAAAATTGAAGAACAGCATCTCCGTTTTTCCTCTTCTAAAGGAGTAGAGCCTGTATCCTGACTTTTGCCGAGTAAGCCTGATTTAACATGCAAATAACAATATCAAACAATCATTAGCTTCGCTAAACAACTAACAACAAATTTTCTGCAGTGCAAGGAAGTTGGAAACATCTGTATCTCAATAGCAGGAAACACGATCAGAGTCAATAACACTCATTTTGGTGTGGAGTAAGAAAAATGGTCAACTAATACTCTTTGGTGTTCAACATAAGCTGCTTAAGGCAAGAAATATTAAAAATAGCAAAATTAACTGGCCTCAAGTTGAACTTTATTCAACCTGAACTCAACAGTCTCTCGCACCTTCTATATCTGCATTTCTTAGGAAGTTCCGAATCTTTGATAACGCATTGGACAGTGACTCTTTGGACCATGCTTTTCCAGGCGGCTGCAATTTTATCAAATGCCAAAATAGTAGGTAACAAGCTTTGAATCAGTGGAGATATCTTGCCTATTTAACTAGAATACCTCATTTTCTTGTGTCAGAGAGAAGCCAAAGCAAGTCCATGAATCTGAAGGATGATCAGTTTTCCCATGTGGCTGAAGAAGAAGCATCCAGGATATACAGGAGAGAAGGCAGTCTAGTGGCTCTTGAATATACACTTTCCCACTCTCTGAATTAGTACATTGGTTAACATCCAGTAGAACATCTGCATCCTGAAACGAACAACCATGCATCAAGAGGTAAGGCAAAATCATAGACAGGTAATATCGTAAGAAAGCCAGATTAACAGTTAGAGAACTATCCATACCTCTCTGTAAAATCGCAAGAAATGAGGGAAGAGAAAATCAAAAACAGCCCCAGAAGTTAAAGGATCCACCAAAACAAGCTTAAGAAGTCCATGATATAGAATCTCTCTGACCTTTGCCTAAAAAGGAACATTTTTCCATGAGTACTATTTTCATCCCTTAAGTAGAAAGCTCATTGTTCAAGATGTTCATGGGGGGAAACCAACAAAACACAAGGAGAGAAAAAATATGTAAATGCTACCTGCTGATAAAGGCACCTCTGCAACAAACCATTTAGCTCCTGGAAAAGACTAGATCC